CTTTGTCCCAGATTCGGAGAAAGAGATGCTGTGGACCACAATGCTCGAGATATTCACCCTTCCTGCGGGTACAGAGGACAAAGTGAAAAGGTGGACTCTGAAGAAAATGGCAGAACAGTTTCAGAGCTTCAAGGGAGATCTGTACCAGAAATATATCCTGAAGGGGCAGACACCGAACTTCGACACATTCCCAAAGCTAAGGGATCACTGGGACGAGTTCGTTGCATATAAGACAGGTGAACAAGGGCAGGCGATGATGGAAAGGAACAAAGAAAATGCCGCCAAGAAGAAGTACCATCACCACTTGGGGTCAGGCGGCTATAGCGTCGCGATGCCGAAGTGGGAGGAGATGAAGGCTAGCTTGCTTGAGAGGGGTATCGAACCGGCCACCGCTAATTGGCCGGAACGATTGAAGTTCTGGTACTATGCTCACGGTGGAACACTCAACCCAGCTGATGGCTCCCTGGTCTTCGGCGATCAGATACGCGAGGCTGCGCGTCGACTAACAGATGAGTGGAAGCCTCTTCTCAGGGCACGTTCCGACCGGACAGAGAGAAGGACGAGCTGTCACTCGCCCTGCAGACTCCAGAGCATCCAGGACGAACACGAGGGAAAGGGGTGATTCCTTGGAAGATTGGGTTCAAGGAGGACATCCACACGTACAGGAGTCGGATGAGGAGCAAGAGAGATACTGAGGAGAAGATTGCAGATCTAGAGTTCAGGGTATCGAGCTACGAGCTCAGCATGCAACAGGAGGTGGCAAGGAAGGTTGATGAACGCATGGCCGCACATCGGTCCCATGATCCCCAGCCGACCATTCTTCCTGCAATGGTGAGCCCATCAGGAAACCGTAGCAGTTGCGCCTCAACGGGGCAAGTAGGATCGCAGAGCATGGACGCCATGCAAACCCAGGACGAAACCACCTGCCCCGTTGATGACATCACTCAACGGACACTATGTGAGCTGCATATTCCCTTCAAGAACCTATCAATAAAGGTAAGCTCGTAGTTTATAGATTTTAGATTTGGCCATTCCGCTAGTTGCTGCTTATATATGTTGATTACTAATAAATAACCTCTCACCACACGAAGGTGGCGTCGGGCATGGCCATCCCAACGGACCCTTCAGATACTTACCACTACAGGCTGATTCCAGCAGGATACTTCAAGGTCGAAGTTGAGTTGGTCGAAGGCGCGTACAAGGACCTCGAGCTGGATTACCCTGGAGGAGACGGTGAGACGCATCTACGAGACACAAGCCACGCCATTATTCTATGGCGCAAGCGGTACATCATCCTCCCTGGGCAACAAGCGGTGTCTCGTGCACCATCTCCTCCGGCTCTGCCATCTCCTCCTCAGGCTCCTACACCGTCTCCTCTTCATGCTCCAGCACCGTCTCCACCTCAGGCTCCTGCACTGACTCCTCCTCAGGCTCCTGCACCGAATCCTCCTCAGGCTCCTGCACCAACTCCTCCTCAGGCTCCTACACCGACTCCTCCGCAAGCTCCTCTTCCAGCACCTTCCAAGTCAAGGGCCCCCCAAGCTCCACCGCCTGCCCCCACAAGGGCAACGAAGAAGGCGAAAGTTGACACCGCCAAGAATAAGGACCTGGGGTACGATTGCACGCAAGAGGAGCTTGACGCTTACGTGGCATCAGAAGTCAAGAGACAATTCAAGCCTCGAAGTCCAGAAAAGAAGATTCCTATAGACCCGAGTGTCAGGAACTTCTTCAGGGGTATGTCTGCACCTGCCAAGGAGGCCATAAAGCTATCGGACTATGAGCGAACACTCAAGAAAGCATCTTCTGGAAAGTCCAAACCAGTCCCTCAGCTTGGAGAGTAACCAAACCAGGAGATCGAGCCGTTGGTGACCGGTGAAGATTTTGGAATACAAGAATTTATTAATGACACCGGGCTAACTACGGATCAATTGCTAAGAGACGCACCAATCGAAAAGGCGGAAGTGAAATACATGTACGAACTCGGTAAACCGCTTGTCAAGCCTGAGCTGCTGCAGTCCCTACCCACACAAATGTACAAGTTCCATCAGCTGTATATGGAGATGAGCGCCACCGGTAGAGGGATGATCGGAGCGAGGATCAGGGACACGGACTTCTTGCAAGGAGATGACATTCTCTGGATCAATTTCAAGGGAATCTACGAACTATATCAGCTGGACGCCCTCGACGTCTCTATTATGAGTTGCTGGATTTTGTAAGTATATCGTTCAGTTAGATTTCTTACTACGTCTCCTTTAACTAATTAGGTCCTTGTATATAAGTAGACTATATATAATATATACTCCCTTTTATCGTTGTAGAATGGAGATTCAAAGGGCCCGACGGCGGGGGGTTTTCGATACTGGATTCATCGACCCTCGGAAAGTAAACGTCGCAATGCTCGACCAATATCCGCAAGCCACAGAGGACAATCTCGTCCATCTCCTGAAGGCGCAGCATTACAAGACGTTCATACTGTTGCCGTACAACATAGAGTTAGTTTAATTTTACTGTCTTCCTATACCAAATTTTATTCCCGTACGAACATGCTAAGTGTTTCATATGTAATGCATCCCACGCACATTGCAGATTCCACTGGGTGCTTTTACTCTTCGACCTGGAGGCCTGCACCGTCAACGTATATGACTCAATGGATAAAAAAGAGTCTACGTTTGACAAGGTTTTCAAACTTATAGACAGGTACTGTCATAAGTTCCTGTGTGTTAATTAAGAATCTTGTTATAGTTAATTGCTACTACGAATCATAGCTTTAAACTCCATGTAGGGCTTGGTATCGGTTCCGTCTTTTGGTCCGCGGCAAATGGAGAGAAAGACTTAGGCGGAAGTTCAAATTTCCTGTGAGTACACATGCTCTACATTTATATTTCTCCGATTCAAATACATACAAGTGTATATTAATTAGATTTCTCATCATTTGTCATTTATTTATAGTACGCAAAGCAAAAGCAGGGAACTAACTTGTGCGGCTACTACGTGTGCGAGTATTGCCACTGCCTTGCAGACCAAATCATCACCACAAGAGAGCTCGATGTATGTACAAATAAATTCAAAATTTCATTACGTATCGATTTGTTGTTTAATTACTAATCAATTTCATACATTCATATAGTTTATTCGCATGAGGGATAACCTGATCACACACAAGGAATTTATCGCGGCGGTTCAAGAACAACTCATGGGATTCATCAACGAACAAATCCTTGATCCCAAGGGTGAATTCTACTACGACGGAAACACAATTCATGGGTCCTTAGCTTCTGAGGTAGCGACTACTACTACGTCGAAATCGTAGCTAGCTAGGACATATAATGGATTGTAATTAATACATGACTACATATGTTTCTATATGCATGTGTACACATTTTCTATAATGTAAATATATATTTTGGTCATATATATATATATATATATATATATATATATATATATATATATATATATATATATATATATACACACACACACATATGCATTTGCATAACATATATATGTATAAATACATATATATTATGCATGTACATATGTATTGAAACATATATAAATATAATACAATATATATATATATATATATATATATATATATATATATATATATATATATATACATATATATGTATTGAAACATATATATGCATGGTTTAAATATATATATATAAACCATGCAGCAACAGGGCCATGCAAAAAAAAAAAGGTCAGCTCGATCTTTAGTCCCGGTTGGTAACACCAACCGGGAGTAAAGATGGCTTAGCCGGCCACGTGGCTAGTCCCGGTTATTTCACCCCGGACTAAAGATAGCGATCTTTAGTCTCGGATTGGTAGTCCCGGTTTGGAAATCGGGACTAAAGGGAGGTTACGAACCGGGACTACAAACGCTTTCTCCACCAGTGATATAAATAGATGTTATAGCATTGCCAAAATTTTGATAAAGTAATATTCTAAAATTTAGAAGTTGTTTGGTTGTACTCATATTTTAGACTTCATTTAGAAGTCCCTTATCTCAAGTTTATTTTCCATGCGCACACTTTCTGAACCGCTAACGGCATATTTTTTTTTAAAAAAAAGTTATAAAATGATTGTTTTAAAAAACCATATTACTCTTTTTTTATTATTTTAGATAATACTTAATTAATCTTGTATTAATCCGCTGTTTCGTTTTATGTGCAATGGTTCCTAACACCTGAGAGCGGGTATAATAGCAGACTATAAGCCAGCTGCAAACATATTTTAAGTAGATAAATGAGGAGAGAGAATGGCAGCGGGCTACAGATTTGTAGCCAGCTGCAGCATGGACTCCAAGACGCAGTGTGTCTATGACAGGTGGGACCAGGTATTAATAGTGTAGTATGTAACTATTCTAAGCTATTAGATTAGCTATAGATGAATTGGAGTTAGTAGTTGGCTATCCTATTGAACTTGCTCTGATGGCAAACACGTACGGCTTGCCAAAATTTCCACAATCTCAGAACCAAACAGAAGAAGAGTGGAGTATCTATCAGCATTTACGTTGATATTTCTTTTGGCTTGGTAAAAGATAGGAGTACTGTAGTACAAAACAAGCGGCCCCTTCAGCTTCCAACCTTGCAATTAAACATCAGATGTCTTCAGTGATTCCTCCTGAAAAAGAGATCTCTTCAGTGCTTCTCACCATCTTTCTTGCTCCATGCATTAACTCCCTTCTCATCCTCCTGATGCTAAACAATTAAACTAATCACTCATCACTCTTCTTAATAAATAAGAACTTTTTTTTAAAAAAAATTGCAAACAAAAAACTTCCTCTCTTTTCAAATAATGATATACCAATCTTAATTTGACAAAAATACAACATCCTTTAAAAGCTTTTTACTCCCGGTGATAAACATAACCGTACAATTATAACTAAAATAATAATAATTTAAACACGCAATTAAATCGTCTCTACTCTCCAGTACTGCACTAAACACTGACATGTGGGGCCAGACACACAGTTCGCACCCGTCCTCTTCGTTGGTGTCCCCTCGCTTAAACCCCTCCGAAATTTATTTACTCATCAAAAATTTAATAACCGAATCCGATTGATCTTCCCCTCTCTCTCTCTCTCTCACTCCTCCCAGCTCCCACCCAACCACCCAAGCCATGCGATCGCCGCGCGGCGGGGCGGCCGCGCAGCCGTCGGGGCGGCGCGGCGACACGACGGCGGCGGCGGCGGGCGATCTGGTGACGACGCAGGTCAGCCTTGGCGGCTTCGACGCCGGCGTCGCCGCGGGGGACCTCGCCGACTTCCTGGAGCACGAGGTCGGCCTGGTCTGGCGCTGCCGCGTCAAGACCTCCTGGACGCCGCCGGACTCCTACCCGGACTTCGCCCTCCCCACCGCCCCCGCCTCCGCCTCGGCCGCGGCCGCGCCGCCGCGGTACGACCGGGTGCCCCCGCACGCGTTTGTCCACTTCGCGCGCCCGGAGGGGGCGCGCCGCGCCGCGGACCTCGCGGGGGAGACCAGGCTCATCCTGAGGGGGAAGCCCCTGCGCGTCGCGTCCGCGCCGGACAGCTCGCTCCGCGTGTCCCGCCGCAGCAGCATCGCGCCGTTCCGGTTCCCCGACGTGCGCCTCGAGGTCGGGGCGCTCCCGTCGCCCGGCGCGTTCCTCGCCGCCTGGCGCGGGCCGGACGCCGGGCTCGACCTCTCCGTCGACCCCTTCGACGGGTGCTGCCGCCTCGTGTTCACCCGCGACACCGCCTTCACGTTCCCGGGCTTCCGCGAGGTCGCCGCCATACGCTGCGACGTCAAGCTGGAGTTCCCCGTGCGCGACGTCCTGGAGGTCCGCCTGTACCGCCTCGACTGCTCGCTGCTCCTCCGCCTCGCCGCCGCGCCGCTGGTGCACTACCGCACCGCCGACGACGACTTCCACGAGCCGGTCCCCTTCGACCTGCTCGACGACGACGACCCGTGGATACGGACCACGGACATCACCCCGAGCGGCGCCATCGGGCGGTGCGGGGTGTACAGGATCTCCTTCTCGGCGCGATTCTGGCCCAAGATGGACCGCGCGCTGGACTACATGAGGGAGAGGAGGGTGGCGATCGTCGATTGCGGCGGCGGATGGGGGCCGCGGCGGGGGCTCACAGTGCGCGACGAGCTGGAGTTCGGGGAGCCAATGCAGGACGTCTTCTTCTGCCTGCAGCACGCCGAGGGGCTCAAGTTCCCGCTCCTCTTCATGGTGAACGCGTTGGTGCACAAGGGAATCATCAACCAGCACCAGCTCACGCCTGAATTCTTCAGCCTGCTGGGGAGAAGCGAGGAGAACGTCAATGTGGCTGCATTGAGGGATTTCTGGGGGGACAAGTTCCCAGTGTTTGATGCGTGCGGGAGGCTGAAGAAGGCACTGAATCGGGTGGCCAGGAACCCCAAACTTCTCTGCAGCAAGGTCGGGGATGACCACGCGGAGGTGCGGAGGCTGGTGATCACGCCCACCAGGGCTTATTGTCTGCCTCCAGAAGTGGAGCGCTCAAACCGTGTTCTTCGGCATTACCATGAGGTGGCTGACAGGTTTTTGAGGGTCACTTTTATGGACGAGGGTATGCAGGTGCTGAACAACAATGTGCTCAACTCCTTCACTGCACCAATTGTCAAAGACTTGATGTCGAATTTTTTCCAGCAGAAGACAACGGTGTACAAGCGTGTCAGGATGTTGTTGACGGAGGGTTTCCACATGTGTGGAAGGAAGTACTCATTTCTCGCATTCTCATCGAACCAGTTAAGGGACAAGTCAGCTTGGTTCTTTGCCGAGGACAGAAAGACAACGGTGGAAGCAATTAGGAAGTGGATGGGACGGTTCACAAGTAAGAATGTTGCGAAGCATGCTGCTCGAATGGGGCAGTGCTTCTCATCCACATATGCAACTGTGACAATGCGGCCGGATGAGGTTGATGAGAGTTTTGATGATGTTGTGCATAATGAGTACATTTTCTCCGATGGAATTGGCAAAATTACCCCAGATCTTGCATTGGAAGTTGCCGAGAGGCTGCAGCTGACAGATAACCCGCCATCTGCTTATCAGATCAGGTTTGCTGGCTTCAAGGGTGTCATAGCTGTCTGGCAAGGACATGGTGATGGGACACGGCTTTTCCTGAGGCCAAGCATGAGGAAGTTTGAGTCTAACCATTTGGTGTTAGAGGTGGTCTCCTGGACAAAGTTCCAGCCAGGATTCTTAAATCGACAGATTATAATATTGCTATCCTCACTGAATGTCCCAGATTCTATCTTTTGGCAAATGCAAGAGACCATGCTTTCTAACCTCAACAATATTCTATCAGACAGAGATGTTGCTTTTGAGGTTTTAACAACTTCATGTGCTGATGATGGAAACACTGCAGCATTGATGCTCAGTGCTGGCTTTGAACCTAGAACTGAACCACACTTGAAAGCAATGCTCTTGGCTATAAGGTCTGCACAATTGCAGGATCTTTTGGAAAAAGCAAGGATATTTGTGCCAAAGGGAAGGTGGTTGATGGGCTGTCTTGATGAGCTTGGGGTTCTTGAGCAAGGGCAGTGCTTTATTCGGGCAACAGTTCCATCATTGAATAGTTATTTTGTTAAGCATGGGTCAAGATTTTCATCAACAGATAAAAACACAGAGGTCATTTTGGGTACTGTGGTAATAGCAAAGAATCCCTGTCTTCATCCAGGGGATGTCCGCATCCTTGAAGCAGTTGATGTGCCCGAACTGCATCATCTGGTTGATTGTTTGGTGTTCCCCCAGAAAGGTGAGAGGCCACATGCTAACGAGGCATCTGGGAGCGATCTTGATGGGGATCTCTACTTTGTGACATGGGATGAGAAACTTATACCTCCAGGCAAGAAGAGCTGGAACCCTATGGACTACTCCCCACCTGAAGCAAAACAACTTCCGCGCCAAGTATCTCAACATGTAAGTTCAATAACTCTTGAGATGTCAGCAATGTCCCATAATTTTTTGTTTCCTACATACATGTCCTTTTTATACGATGGATAACCCTCCTTTCATTGGAAGCATATATGGGTTTTCTTTACAGAACTGAGATAAAGAAATTAAACGCAAGCTATGGTCGGGCACACTGGCACACCAGCAAAAACAGGGAATAGCTTTAGAATCTCAGATATATTACAGCAATCAAAATTAAGTCCAAACCAGAGAGGTCCTCCTAGCATTTGTAAACCTTATAGGCATCATCTCCCTGCTGAACTACCGAGGCCATTTCTTCACATTTGTGACTTCCCTATCTTCTTTACGTAGCATTACCTTCCGTTTCTGCAATTACAACTTTATATAAAGTTTAAATCAACCAGCTGTTGAAGGAGTACATGATTAATTGCCATCTGTGTTTCTACCTGTCCAAATCACCCCTGAAAAAACATCAAACATAACATTTTCAACCATTTAGGGCCTCACACCTGGATCCAAGGAAATCCTTGATTGGAGTTGGGTGCTCTGTCCTATCTAAGAGCTTTTGATGCATATCCATATGAACCCTGATAATTTGCATGTAACTAGCAGGTTATCGCTTGCTCAAACGCTGGGCAACTAGTCTCTAGTCTTGGTCGAGTGTGTGGTTGACTTGGTCGTGGACATGCTTGGTTCTTAGATCGTGTTTTGTATTCAGGGTTTCTTATACCCTTTCTTTCTTGCACTGTCCATATTCTAATGCAAATTTAGAAGTAATGATTTTCATCTTCCTTGTTATTTTATTATTTGGTTATACTATTTGTGGTTTCTAGCTGTCAACAAGTAATGGTTGTGGTTTCCTTCATAGTTTTAGTATGGTTTTGTGATATTTACGAAGTTAAGCTTTAGCAAACTATTAGCATAGCATGGTTGGTTAGCGCTCATTTTATTCACCATCTGAATTTACCTCATGTTATCATATATTCCTACTTGGCAAGCTGCCAACTTCAAATTGGAATATGGTGATGTATTTACAAAGTTGTTACCATGTAGATTGTTATTTGGATTTGAAATCTGGCATTGGTGATACATTTTCTCCAATCGCATATGCATATAGCTGCTTAAAAAACTGACTCATATTAATTCCCCTAGTTTCTGCAAATTGTAGATTTCTTGATTTGTGGGCAAGTATCTATTGCTATAATGCATATCATTGACTAGATCTTGTTTTTGTAACAGGATATCATTGATTTCTTCTTAAAGAACATGATAAGTGAGAATCTTGGTAGGATCTGTAATGCTCATGTTGTTCATGCTGATCTTAGCGAGTATGGTGCAATGGATGAGAAGTGTATTCACTTAGCTGAGCTAGCAGCAACTGCCGTGGACTTCCCCAAGACTGGCAAACTTGCGATAATGCCACCACACCTTAAACCAAAAGTCTACCCTGACTTCATGGGAAAGGAAGATGGACAATCTTATAAATCAGAAAAGATTCTTGGAAGGCTTTATCGTTCAATCCAAGAGGCCTCCAATGGTGATGTGGTGTCACAAGAGGTTTGCACTCCAAATGATCTGCCTTATGACATAGATCTGGAAGTTCCTGGTGCATCAGATTTCCTCGCGAGTGCTTGGCAATGCAAGTGTTCATACGACGCGCAGCTGAGTGCGCTGCTCAGTCAGTACAGGGTCCGCACTGAAGCTGAACTTGTGACAGGGCACATAACGTTCCTTGTTAAGAACAGCAGCAAGAAGCAAGGCGACATAAAGGACAGGCTGAAGACTGCTTACTCTGCACTACGCAAGGAGTTCAAAAGTACCTTTGAGAGCATAGCATCGGATCAATGCGAGATTGGTGATGACGAGAAGAATCTGCTGTACGAGATGAAGGCCTCTGCCTGGTACCAGGTGACCTATCACCCCAAATGGGTGGAGAAGTCGAGGGGCATTCTGGGCCCAGATGGTGAGGAAATACCGGCAAGCCTTAGCTTTGCATGGATCCCGGTGGATTACTTGGCGCGGATAAAGCTAAGGTGCCATGGTAAAGTGAGAGTTGAAGGCCAAAAGCCTGTTGAAAGGCTTGCAGCATACATCTCCGAGAGGATATGATGAAACAATGCAAAGGTCGCAGTAAGACCACTCTGCCATTCGTAATGCCGGTTCAAAGGGCATGCGTACAAAATATCTGAGTTTTTTTTTCTTTTCATTTTTGTTCACTTCACTGAACTTGATCTCCCGAATGTTTCAGTGTGCTTTTGTTCCTTCTTACATGCCCCTCAAGCCTGAAAAACTGTACGTTTCAGTTGAGGGCTGTCTATATTATGAAATGCACAAATATACGCTGCCTGCAGCTTTTGGCAATATTTCAAGTTCAGGTTGTGCGTCTCCTTATTTGTGCCCCAGATGAGGGCAACAAAAACTGTCGAAAAAGGTAGCATCTCTATGAGAACTGTTCTATTAGTCCGTTGTACATTAATCCTATGTACCATATTAAGTACTTAAAGCGGCGATTGTAATATGGCGCTAAAACAAATTAGAAAAAACAAAAAAGAAAGCCAGAATTGAAAACGTACCACTTATATAGAAACGACCCAAGTCGGCCCGTAATTTTCTTCGTCACCGTTTTCATCTCTAGAAGATGGGGCTGCGGTTGTTGATGGGATGTCCCTGGGTAAAAACGGGTACTGCAGCGACACCAAATTGTGCAGAGTAATGTTGCTAAAAGCGCTGTTTAGTTCCAAAGTTTTTTTCCAAACTTCCAACTTTCTATCACATCAAATCTTTCATACACACACAACTTTTCAGTCACATCGTCTCCAATTTCAACTAAATTCTAAACTTTAGGCCGAACTAAACACAGTCAAAGTGAAGTGACTGGAATGCTTCTCATTGCCCACTCGTTGTTAATGATGATCTCGTATCTCTGATCAAGTCTTGTATATACTCCCTCCGTATTCATAAAGAAAGTCGTTTTGGACAGCGACACGGTCTTCAAAACACAACTTTGACTTCTTATTTCTATAAAAAATATTTATTAAAAAGTGATATGTATACTTTTATGAAAATGTTTTTCAAGACAAATCTATTCATATAATTTTTACATTTTCAAACTCAATAACTTGAGAGTTATTCATGATTTATATTCCCAAGGTTTGACTTAAACATTGTCCTGAACGACTTTCTTTACGAATACGGAGGGAGTACAAGACAGTTTTTGCCCTCTTTTTTTTTTTAGAAAAAAGGGGCACAACAGCATACCACATAACCACAAGAGTGATGATGGTTTAAGGCCGAGTTCACTTTCTTCTTTTCTATGGGCACCCTTCCCAAATTATTAAACGGTGCTTAAAAAATTTTTATAGAAAAATTGTTTTAAAAATTTCTATAGGGCTGTAAATAAGGTTATTTTGGGACAGAGAGTATCATTTTGTTGTCCCATTTGGCATGCAAAATTCTAGACATAAGCTGCTTGGGCAGGGAATTTTTTTTATTGGTCATAGTTGGGTTGCATACTCCTGATGCCCGTATCATTTGGGTACAAACAGATACAGCTCGAGCAGAATTGATGGGAAGTACACACACAAAACATGAGCAGTAGCCAAAAACGATCCATTGACACCCTCACGATGTACAGGAGTACCGGCTGCGTCCACAGCACTGAAATGCATTGACAGTGATGCAAGTTAAAACACACGATTAGAGGCGACAGGAGGATGCCAACCTAGAGTTTGTCTGATCTGCTCAGCCTCCCTCAGATGGTAGTACACGACATACAAAACACAATTACATCTGTACACGTAATCTCTGAAACTCCCTAATGACGATGCGAACCGTGGGTGCGCGTGCTCTTCTAATCGTGTCTAGCTAGCTACTAGTTCTGACGAGAGGTGTAGTGCGTGTGGACCGTCTGATCTACTCGTGGCCAGCTGCTGGCGCCGACGAGGGCTCGTCTGGCTTGTGCTTGCCGAACGATTTCTGCTTCTCCAGCGTGGGCATGTACGGTGCCGCGCTCTTGTGGAGAGCATCGGCCAACGGCTTGTCCGGCTGATGATCCCGTGGGCTCGTGAGCTGCTTCTCCATGACATCGAACTTGGCTGTTGCCCATGGTGCCGTGCCCACGCTCCCACCAGCACTTGTTGGAGTATCCACTGTCAGGGTTGTGATGGCATCTCTGGACGAGAACCACGAGTGTCCACAGGCGTTACATTCGAGCTGAAATCAAAGAGAAATCTTGTGAGAAAGCTGGGCCAAACAAGAAGGTAGTTTCAGCATTACTGTACGACAGAAAATAAGGGTCAGTTTACTAGATGTTCACACTTCAGAAATCAGATATCTGCCGAAGCACGGTAACACCAAAATTTAAAGATTCAAGTACCAAAGGCCCACAAATTTCCATCTAGCAAGTGTTCAGACTAATCCTCTGCAATAGGAGGCGAGTCCAAGTTCAATCATTACTTCATATAAAGAGTATATACATTGAACACCATCAGCACATTAATTATAGCCAGTGTCTCTTTAACACATTAAATATTCACTTAGAATCTGCAGCAGATCCATAGGCTTTGGTAATGGATAGCACATATTCAGAAACAAATAAATGAGGCAGTTCGAGTGTGGATTTAAAGAAAAACTAAAAGGGAAGGCATTGCAGAGGCAAAACAATATAAAAGCAACATTTTGGTCAATATATAATAAAAACATTTGGATGTAAAATCAATCCAACTACTGAAGTACTAACTCTTTTCTTTTTCTACTTGTCTTTAGGGCATCTTCAGTCTCCAATGCACACGTTTGATCGATGTTTTTCAAACAAAATATTCATGCGACGGTGGCCTAAGGCGGGGCTGATGCGGGCTCCGATCCAGACGCTAGTCCTCTTTGTTAGTATAATCCTTGCGGGCTGCAGTCAACTGGTTCCTTAGGAAGTATGCCAGTTACTGTAGCAAATTTAGATTTTACTTTATCTGCAAACAGCCGTCTGAACATCATGCTGGAGCAAATTTAGATTTTACTTTATATGCAAACAGCCGTCTGAACATCATGCTGGTTACTGTAGCACAACTTAAAAGTCCTATAAAAGGACATGTACCCTTCTTGCGTTAGTAAGCTTTTCAGCTCATATTTCAGATTCAGTTCAGCTAGACTAAAGTGTAGTTCAGAAGTGATCCTACCAACAATTGGTATCAGAGCTTGATGAAAGGAGTGTGAAAGAGATGAAGTACCAGATGTGGGAGCCAATGCTTCTAGGTCGCCACAACACTGAGGCCGCTGTCACTCGCTATCGCCAAAAGCACAGCAAGGACGAGGTCGAGGCGCTACTGTTCTAGAGATTGTTGTGCAGCGGACTGTCAGGGAGGTTGGCGGCGCTGCTGCTTTCCCCACCCTCACGCGAACTAACTACATCGAGTGGTCGCTGTTGATGAAGGTGATGCTGCAAGCCCGCGACCTTTGGGACGCGGTGGAGTATGGTGACTGCAACGAGCCACCAATGAATCCGTGAAGGACGTCTGGGATGCCATCAAAGTGATTCACATCGGCGCGCTGGGAACATGAATCCATCTCATTCTATGATGGAGAATCGATCGACTACTTCGCCCTGTGGCTCACAAGCCTAGTGTCTCAGCTTTGGACATTAGAACAGATCGAGGAGCAGAAACATCATCGGGAAGTTCCTGCACGTCGTCCCAGAGTGATTCTCCCAAATCACAGTGTCGATTGAGACCTTGTTGGATCTTTCGACACTCACCATCGATGACGTCATTGGGCGTCCCAAGGTGGAGGAACGACAGCCAAATTCATCGCCGACAACTACTCCAGCTGGAGGCCAGCTCTTCCTCATGGAGGAGCAGTGGCTCGCGTGGCAGAAGGAGCGACAGAAGGGGGAGGGATCCTCAAAGCAATCACAAGGCAGAGCTCGCTGGCGACCTCGCTCCCACCGCAAGAAAGGAGGCACTGGCAACGACGGAGGCGGCTAGAAGGAGGATGGCGATCAGGATACAATACCAAATAGATTGCAATTGTCCTTCTTGGCCATTGGGCCAAGGATTCCCATCGATCCAAGAAAGAAGCCGCTTACCTAGCCTAAGGTGACAACAATGACGACGTCTTGCTGTTCCGTCTTGCTGTTCTCGCGGGCATGTGAGCATGAAGACGACGGCACCACATTGTTGATGGCCCAAGCTTGCGAGCTCAACGACAACCCCGTTGTCGTGCCATCTCTTGTCTCCCTCGTTGAATCGCTCATGCAGATGAGCCTAGGAGCCGCAGACTCAAGGACAAGGAGGCATGGTACCTTGACATGGGGGTGACCAACCACATGACGAGCTGTCGTGATGTTTTTGCCGAGCTCAACCGAAGCGTCACTGGCACTGCCAAATTTGGTGATGGCTCCATTGTTGACATCAAGGTGCCGGTAACGTCATCTTTATCAGCAAGAATGGCGAGCACAAGGTTCTCAGCAACATCTACTACATTCCGCGCCTCAAGAGCTCAATCATCAGCGTCGGCTAGCTTGATGAAAGCGAGACGCATGTGCTAGTTGAGGGTGGCATCCTGTGCATCTGGGACCGACGCCGTCACCTCCTTTTCAAGATCAAGCGGGGACAAAACCACCAGTATGTCCTCCGCCTCGAGGTTGTTCAACCGATTTGTATGGCTGCATGACACGATGATGTTGCCTGGCGCTATCACGAGCGCTTTGAGCACATCCACTTCAGCTCACTAGAGAAGATGGGTTCACAAGAGCTCGTGCATGGCCTGCCTCGACTAGAGCATGTCAAACAACTGTGCGACACGTGCGTCATCACCAAGCACCGACACGCCGCTTTCCCAAGGCAACCAAGTACCGTGCTCAGGAGCCGCTCGATCCCGTCCATGGCGACATCTGTGGACCCATCACGTCGGATATGCTAAGCAACTAGCGTCATTTCTTGCTACTGGTCTACAATGCCACATAATACATGTGGGACACTCTAGTAGCCAAGAGCAATGCGCCTGCTTCTAAAAAGATTGTGGCGGTCAAGACTTGTTGCAGGCGCAAGTTGTGTGTGCTACGAGTCTCGACTGCCACCTGAATCTTTTTGATGGCGTCATGCGCGTTGCTCTTGTACACTAGGCGCAAGTTGCATGATCCACACAGACAACGGTCACGAGTTCAAGTGGCTTGAGTTCACTGCCTGCTACACTGATGAGGGGATCCAGCATCACTTGTCCACGCCCTACGTCGCGCAGCAAAATGACGTGGTCGAGCAGTGGAATCAGACGGTGGTGTCCATGGCGTGCGCAATACTCGAGCAGAGGGGAATGTCTATTGAGTTTTGGGGGAAGGCTGTCAGCACGACTGTCTTCCTCAATCACATGCCAACCAAGAGCCTTATCGGCAATATGCCATGTGAAGCAAAGCACGGTAAGAAGCCGACTGTCAACTTCCAGCGCACCTTCGAGTGCCTGGTGTTTGTGAAGGAGCTAAACGATGCACGCAAGCTCGACGAGCGCAGCATACCCGACTTCTTCATCGGCTACGAAGAAGGGATGAAGGCGTATCGTGTCCTTGATCCAAGGATACGCGTGTATGTCTCACTTGAAATGTCATCTTTGACGAGAGCCACGGGTGGGATCAAACGACAAGAAGCGGCACAAGTGTGCCACCAAGCAGTGATTTCGCCATCGAGTACCATGTTGAGAACACCACCAAGCATCCTATGCCTGGTTTGGGGGAGGCACAGGGACCCCATCAACGTCCCCAGTGCAATTGCAGGAGACTTCACCTGCAAACCATGCCACGCTGGCACCAAGTCCAAGCGCTACCCTGACAAAGTTCGTGTCACCTCACACGACGAGAGGATTGACGCAGCGCACTTTGACACCCTTGTCCGCTACCGTACCGTTGACAACTTGGTCGAGGAGAACGTTCCGGCACCAGGGCTTGCACAATAGGTGCTCGAGAAGGTGTCCTTGCTTCTTGCTGGACCTGGCGAACCGCGCTCGTTCGCTGAAAGCAGAATGTGACAAGGCACGGCGCAATGTGATACAAAAAGAGATGGACGTGGTAAATCACAATGGGACTTGGGAGCTTCTTGATCTCCTACATGGCCATCGCCCATATGGACTCAAATGGGTCTATAAATTGGAGGCCGCGAAGGTGATCAAACATAAAGTTCGTCCCGTCATCAGACGATACGTTCAACAACCCATGATTGATTTCAACGAGTTGTTTGTGCCCGTCACGCGAATGGAGCCGATTCGTCTCCTGTTCGCGCTCGTTGCCTAGGAAGAGTGGCATGTCCATCACATGGACGTGTAGTATGCCTTTCTTAATGGAGATTTGGCAAAGGTGTATGTGAAGCAACCCCCTAGTTTTGTCATTGCCAAAGAACAAGGCAAGGTCCTCCGCCTACGCAAGGCTCTTTATGGCCTGCGACAAGCGCCAAGAGTCTGGAACGCGAAGCTTGATCGCACTCTGAAGCAACACGACTTCGACTAGAGCAAGCATTGGCACACCTTGTACCGACACAACAATGGCAGCTCTGCTCTGCTCGTTGGGGTCTATGTAGATGACCTTGTGATCACCGGGCCATTGACAAGAACAATTGAATAATTCAAGGAAGAAATGAAGGCGAAGTTTCAGAAGTGATCCTACCAACACTCTATTAGCAACACCTTGCCGCCAGAAAATGGCCATGTTAGTAGGCTAGGGTGGGGGAGAAGGGATCCATTCTCTCTCTCTCTTCCTCTCTAACCCAACTATGAGGATGGATTTGGAGCGTGTCGGATGTCGAGCTCCTACATGATGGATGACCGACGACAAGGTGCTGTCGTGAAGGCCGCGCACTGAAGGTGTTCAATTATGGGTGGCTACTAATTCCAGCAAGCAACCTCGACACAGGTGGGCAAAAAGATCACAGGCACAAGCCCAACCTCTTTGGGCCAACAATGACGACGCTTACAGGCGTTGCTTTTCTTCTGCAGCATTGTTGCATGATCTTTCCTCTTCCTAATGGAATTCCATCCTGGCTTCCCAGCGCAGATGATGAAGACACTATGAATGGCCGAGAAGATCCATTCCTTAGGGATGTCGTGTTCATGCTTTGCTCTTAATAACGGGATCTAGTTGTAGACTCGTGGTGTGGCTGTCTTTTTTCTTTTTCCTAGCTATAGCCTCCCAGGTTTGTAGACTTCTAATGTTTTTACTACTCTATCAATAGAGACATTGC